TTTAACATCCTTGTATTTTAGTATTGTAGAATATTTACAAATAAGATTTATATGATGTTGGGAGGAGTTTGTTTCAAACTAATCTAGAGGGGCATGGACTAAAGCAGAAAAACGCTGGCCTTGAGTTGATGCTGGGAAATGAATGCATGGAGGTGAACTGTGTTGTTCCAACTTTTATGTGGAACTTTTCCATAATAAAAAGTTAAAAGTAGGTAAAATAACTATTACTCCTTAATTGAGTATATTTGTTTTTTCATATATTTGTTGAGCCTTTTCCACCCAGTGTCAGGCAGCTAAGCACACACTGGGCCGTCTTACGCCATCTGTCTCTCCTATCACAATAGAACTGTTTGGCTTTGATGGAAATCACTCCGTCTCCTGGGATCTTTTGAACTGACGTAACCTGCTGTATTAGTCCATTCTCACACTGCTATAAAATACCACCTGAGACTGGGTAATTCACCAAGAAAGGAGGTTTAATGACTCACAGTTCCGCATGGTTTGGGAGACCTCAGGAAACTTTCAATCTTGGCGGAAGTTGAAGAGGAAGCAAGGCCTGTCTTCCATGGTGGCAGGAGAGAGAATGCAGTTGGTGGAGATTTCCACAAACTTTTAAACCCCCAAATCTTGTGAGAACTCACGCACTATCATGAGACAACCATGCAGGAAACTGCCCCCATGATCCCATCGCCTCCTACAAGTCCCCTTCCCTGACACATGCTGTATTAGTCCACTTTCACGCTGCTCAGAAAGACATACCTGAGACTGGGTAATTTATAAAGAAAAAGAGATTGAATGGACTCACAGTTCCACGTGTCTGGGGAGGCCTCACAATCACGGTGGAAGACGAAAGACGCATCTTACATGGTGGCAGGCAAGAGAGAGTGTGTGTGTGGGAACTCTCCTTTATAAAACCATCAGATCTCGTGAGACTTAGTCACTATCACGAGAACAGCTGGGGAAAGACCCGCCCTGGTGATTCAATGACCTCCCACTGGGTCCCTCTCCTGACACGTGGGAATTACGGGAGCTACAATTCAAGGTGAGATTTGGGTGGGGACACAGACAAACCATATCACATGGGGATTACAATTCTAGATGAGGGTTAGGTGGACAGCCAGTGGCAAACCACATCACCCATGTCCCCTGCACATGACCATTTTCTCTTTGGCTTCTCCCACCCTGGCTGTCCCCTCAGGGCCCACGCCCCCGTGTCCCTCTGCCTGTCATCCTGTGATCTGCTCTGACCCTCTGTTCCTCCTCGTTCAAGTTGAGCGTTTCTTACCACAGAAGTGATGACCACACTGAAGAGTTAACCTGTCATTTCTCATAATACAGAACAAATACGTTCTCTCTCACGGGAGAGGAAACTACCTGAGATTTTGATAAATTTATACCTCCAAGTGGTGATAGAGCAAGCCAAATATTTGATAACCAGCCTTGTGAAGAAAGTACTGAGTTTTGGGGGAAACTGACTCCCCCATTCACTCGGTGATCTCTGGATCCCTGCAGGGATGGGCATCAACCCCCCGGCAAACCCTAATTACGTCACAAATACGGGGTAACTGAATTATATGAAAAGAGTACTGAAAACACGCCCACCCTCTGGAGGGAAGCAAATCGGTGGAGCATTCCCGTGAGCACTCATGCAAGCTACACTGTGCATTTCATAAGCCCACGGCCACAGCCACACAAAACAATCTGTTGACTTAAGAAAATATATTTCCAGTTCAAAACACCACAGCAATTCCAGAAATCACAGGTGTGATTCGAGCCGTGGTGTCCAGGTTTCTGATGCTCAGGCCCTCATTCTTGGGGGACGTTGGGAGACAACTGCAGCGATACCACTCAGCAGAGACCACCACCCTGCACATGTGAGGTCAGAGGGATAGAAGGGGACTGTGGACGGGATGCTCCCCAGAGCCCATTTGAAAGGGAGAGTTATAAAGCCAGAAGATCAAAGATCAAAGCAGGTCTGAACTATGAAAAGACCCGTTCATCAGAAACTGGCAGCACCTCCAGGCCCTGAGCAGAAAGGGGCTGAGCCGTCATGAGTCTATTTTCCAGTCCCAGGGAAGATGCATGGTCATTGCGAACACATCCCTTTAAATAGTAAATAACAAGCTATTTGAAATGACACTCACCATGTAGATTAGAATATTTCAGTAATTTGAATGCTTGTCATTGTGACATATTTCTCCTCCAAGAGAATTTCAGGAAAAGTTTCATGTGGACCTGAATCACTTTCACAATCGATTTAATTCCATCTGGGCATGAATGCCCAAAATGTGTATCGATTGTACCAGGGTTCACAGGAAATGTGGGGAGTAGAGACCGGTGTCCAAAACAATCATCATCTCAGCTTATTTGCTTGTTTCTTAAACATCATAATCTGACTGCTGATGTATCACACGTTCTGGGAGAATTTTAATGTTCTTTGATGAGGCAAAATTATGCTATCCTCACAAAAAGGGCAGGTCCAAATGGCCAGATTTCAGCAGGCCCCCTGGAGGCATGTTCTCTAACTGTACGGGCCAGATTCTACGACATAGAAATACATAAAAGCAGTTAGGAGCTTGAGGAGTGCGTGGACTTATTGACCCTAACCTTCCCAAAGAGGGATCAAAATGCCATGGTGATGCTGGTGGTTCACCCGGCCTGTGGCGATTCGCTCTGAACCGGTGGCGTGCAGGTTGGTGCTTTGGAAGAGCTTTGGGAAAACCTGCCCGATGGTGATGCTTCCAAACAGAGGGTGTGGCTTTGTAAACCGGTCTATGAACGAATGCCCAGGACGGGATGGGCGTGCTCAGTCCTCGGGCTGGCTGCAAAATGAACACCAAAGCGTTTTCCTCCCATACCTCAGAGCGGGCCGCAGCCTCCCCGAGAGTCTCCTTCTCCCATGGAATCTTCAAGGCTGGAACCAACGTGGAAATGAACAGCTGCCAAAACGGAGGCAGCTCCATGCAAAACCTCTGTGCGCGTTTCAAAGTTGGTTTTCAATGACGGAAATCATACGGATGATTAAAACCAAAATTAGCGTTTCGATGTTGTTGAATGCCAACTGTTGGGAACCGAGGCCAGACCCACGGGTCGGGAAGTGCAGCCGGGTGAGGAGGAGGACAGCCCAACTGCTTCGGATCCCGCCATGCTTTTCCGCCCACACAAGTTCAAAATTCATCAACTCATGGCCACATTCCATGTTTCCTGTGCCTCAGGAAGCTCCTCTTGTGTTTTAAATTAAGCACACATACCCAAAGACCAACGGAGACCAGTTTAGCTGAGGTCCACATGTGATGGTGAAATCAGAGAGGCTGCACTGGGTCCTTTCCTGGAATCCTTGGCCCCCATCAGAGGTGCTCCTTGTCCATCCCCTGTGGCCCACACAACATCCTTTGGCCCCCAAAAGTGACTTTTTATGGAGGAGATTTGGGTTAGCCAGAAGAGAGCTGCCCAGGAGATTTTGAGTAGGAGGTGTCCTCCCTCCACAGCCAGTGAGCCCCTGCCCTGCCACGTGCGGCCCTAGACCTCCCCACATAGTGGTTCACAGGCTTCCATGTGCTGTGGGGCCAGGCGGCAGGATCCCTGGGGGAGGAGAGCTCCATCTCCTACCTGATCACCTCCCTGGCTTAGGGAAGACACTGTTATTCTTCTTCGCATTGTTCCTGAAAGTTCTGCGGTGTCTGCTTACTATTGAACCACTCAGATCTAGTTCTATGTGTTTTGTTCATGGCTCCATGGGCACTCAGGAGACAGAAGAGCTCGCCCTGACCCCCCGGCTGCTGGGCCTGCTAGGCACCCCCAAGCCCAGCTCTTGCTCCCTCTTCCCCTCTCTCCCTTACCATCCTTTCATCCTTTGCTAAAAAGTTGAAAGGACTGAAAAGGTGAGAATGGGCACAGGCTCTGAGTCAAGATTTTGTTTTACCTTCATTATGGCAAATATTTTTACTGCAAAAGTACATTTTTTAAAAGAGAAAACGCATATAGTGCTAAGATTCCTGACCACTTCATTTGGGTTCCTGTTGCAGGCCTAGGGTATCCCATGAGCAGGGCTGGTACAGGAGCCTGGTGCAGGATGAACGCACCTGTGGGCCGTGGCAGGACCCAGGGTCCAACAGAATGTCTGGGCATCCTGGGGCCAATAACAGCCCAGCTCAGGAAGAGCCTGGGAAGCGCCCCTCATTGATTTGCCTTTCGGAGTCCTCCCCACCCTTCTCTGCCAAACATGGGGCCCAGCAACCACAGCATTCCTTGCATCTCCCTGTTCTGGGAAGGAACACACTTCCACATTCATCCCCTTATGTGAAACTCACAGGCGAGGCAGGGCAGAGCAGCAGCCACACAGGAGGGGTTAAAGGGCAGGAACCATCCCCTGGCTTGATGGAAAACAGGGATTCCCTACCTCGGTGCATGGCAACTCCCAAAACCAAACCGTGACCAGCTGACTTGGAGGGAGACCCACTGGCCGTGTGCACCCTGCAGGTACGCAGGCATCATCTCATCCAGCTGTCCCAAGGCCCACTGGGGCCTCTGCAAAGCCTCATCTTACATATGAGAAATCTGAGATCAGGGTTGGCTGACTTTGCCCAAAGTCATCAAGCAGGCAAGACACAGAGCTGCAGCACCAAGCCAGGGCTGCCTGACCCCTAAACTTAACCTGACACAGCACATGGCACCACCTACGCACTTGGCCCCCACGACCACTTCTACAGGACTCGGGAAACACAGCAGGGCTGAGAACGTGGGCGCCTGGGTAGGCTGGGGGTGGCAGGCCCTGTGTACAGTGTCTGAAGTTGTCTGAAGTGCCCCAAGCCTCTGAGATACCTGCTTCAGCAGGTGCCCAGGACACTGCTAAGACGGAGCCTGAGACCTCTTACCATGTGTCCAGCGGTTGAATTAGCTCTTTGCTCACAGTCAGTGTGGTCAAAATGATGCCTTTTCTTTCTACATCACCTGAGTACCCAGTAGGGAAGGACCCGCTGGGGAAGGGAACGGCCACCTACCGGTTCCTCTTGGTTTTCACATCTGGGTCTTCCCTGCCGTCTTCAGAACTGGACCCATCGCTGCTGTCAGCTGAAAGAAAATCAGATGAACAGGGTTAGAGTTGTCAGCGCTCAGGGCTTTGGCACAACCACTTTCAAGCAGACTTATCTAGAAATTAAGACAACAGGCTTCTCTTAAAGATTGATGTGAAATCCTACAACGAGTTTCCTCTCGGCACACAAGCTTTCACATTTCAGCGGAACAGAAATCTGACTGTGCTGATCTGCAGAGTGGTTCTCCTTAGATACTGTCTGTTTAGCAGGTGCTGGGCCTTCCAGAGGGGCTGGAGGGTGGAGAATTACAGGTGGACCTCTGCTCAGCCTCCGGGCGAGGGCCCAGGATGAGCAAAGCTATGTCATGTTCTTGAGAGGGAACCATGAGACCGGGGGGGCCACTGCCCCAGGGAAGCGTGGCCCCCAGCAGCACCTCCAACAGGCCCATGCTCAGCTCCTCTCCATCCACTACAATAGATAACGAGATTCCCCTACCCTGCATGCAGCCCTGCCTCACTATGGATGCCCATCTACTTCCAAAAGCCGAATCGATTTTGAAGACATGGTCCCTATTTCCATTCTGAGGCGGTCGGCCCTGTAAATGTTTGATGAGCTTTTGTAATGAAAAAGTAAAAAGGTGCTTTGGTGTTTCCTATGGGTCTCCGGGAGGGAAGAGGAAAGATGATCATGTAGATGGTCTGGAGTGTCATCGCTTCTTCCCTGACAGGCGGAGTGACTTCCACACGCGCCGAGCATCACAACGGCCTCCCACCTGCTTCTCATTCTGTGTCTACCTCTGGCTCATTCCGCCCCTCCCAGTTTGGGTGGCCAACTGAGCTGGGCTGGGCTGGGCAGAGCGTCCCACCATCTTCCCAGCCAGCCTTGGGCCACCTTCCCAGTGACTGCGGAGCCTGCACTTCCTTCCTGGCAGGGTCTGCAATGAAAACAGTGCTCAGCTTAGGACGAGTGCAGAGTTGATGAGAAAAGACATCAATTTCAACAACTGCAGGGGTCTCTGCACATTTTCTTTCCATAAAACCCTACAATTCTCCCCACACCTGTTTTTAGAATCCCAATAATAGCTCTGTCACCAGCTCACCGTTCAAATCTATTTACAGGCTTGTTTCCAATGTGCAGCGTGGGGCCCGTGGTAAGAGGAGAGGGTCAGGCTCTGGAAGCCCCGGCTCGCCGCAGTCATGCTGCATCATCCTTGGGGGCCTCTGCCATCTGAGCTTCCCAGGCAGCTCATGGTCGCCCCGCCCACGTAAGCCACGGGACCACGGAGGCTGCCTTAGAAGGACCGGGGTACGGCATGTCCGCCCTGCACCTTCCAGCAAGGCCGCAGTGTCCACCATGCACACCCTGAGTGGATGTTCCACCCTTCTGAAAGGATGCAGGCCTCGGGGAAGGGAATTCCCGTGGGCAGTGCAGAGTAGGGGACGAGCAGAACTTGGCCCTGGGAGGGCGGAGGAGCCACAGCCCAGGCGGAGCTTCCTGACTTTTCAGCAGCCCCTGGTTCTGAACCTGGCAGCGCTGACTCCAGGGCTGGATTGCTCTGCCCTGGAGGCCGCCCTGCACCCTGCAGGTGTCTCTCAGCCTCCCTGATCCCTGCCCCTCCCCACCATGCTAATGCAAAAGCCTCCAGAACTTCCCAAATGTCCACAGGGGTAAATTTGCCCTTCCCAGTTGAGAGCCACTGGTCTAGAGCCAAGATCATTGATGACAACCGGGGGGCCATGGAAGGGAAGAGAGGACACTGGAGGGTATCCACTTCCTCCTCTCTGGCTGCCTTCTGCATGTGCTCCACAGCCCAACACAGCCCTCCAGGCCAGGACCCCAAAGGACACACTTTATGCTCCCTGCTTCCCAAGCTGCACTCGTGCCAACCCCAGCACTTCCAGGCATTTCTGGTTTTTTCTGAGGCGGAGTCTCGCTCTGCCCAGCTTCAGGATGAGGGCCTGCTGTAAGCACTTCTATGTCATGTTCTTGAGAGGAAACCGCGAGGCTGGGGCCACCTCCGTGGCCACTGCCCCAGGGAGGGGTGGCCCCCAGCAGCCCTTCCCTCAGGTCCACACTCAGCGGCTCTCCATGTTCAGTCTGTCACCCAGGCTGGAGTGTAGTGGTGCGATCTCGGCTCACTGTAACCTCTGCTTCCTGAGCTCAAGCAATTCTCCTGCCTCAGCCTCCCAAGCAGCTGGAATCATAGGCACCCGCCACCACACCAGGCTAATTTTCACGTTTTTAGTAGAGACAGGGTTTTACCATATTGACCAGGTTGGTCTAGAACTCCTGACCCCAAGTGATTCACCTCCCTCGACCTTCCATAATGCTGGGATCATAGGCATGAACCACCATGCCGGGCCACCTCCAGGCATTTCTACTTCCTGGCTGTGGGAACCTGCTCTGCCCATTCAAACTGAGGACACTGGCCAGGCACGGTGGCTCACATCGGTAATCCCAGCACTTTGGGAGGCCGAGGTGGGTGGATCACAAGGTCAGGAGTTCGAGACCAGCCTGGCCAACATGGTGAAACCTCGTTTCTACTAAAAATACAAAAATTAGCCGGGCGTGGTGGCAGATGCCTGTAATTCCAGCTAGTCAGGAGGCTGAGGCAGGAGAATCGCTTGAAAACACAAAGCAGAGGTTGCAGTGAGCTGAGATTGTGCTGCTGTACTCCAGCCTGGGCGAAAGATCAAAACACACCCTGCTCCCTGCCTCAGCCTCTGCACCCAACACCCTCCAAGGAAATGCAGGACTCCTCTCCTGTGTCCCGGAGTCCTCTCCCCCTGGGGCGCTGGGTCCTGGGCTGTCACTGTGCCCTCCTGGTTTTCCCTCCCTGGTGCTGTGGCTTCTCCCTGGTCCCTCCTGGCCATTCCCACCTAGGTCACTGGGCCTTCTGGTTGTCTCATCCAGAGGCTCCTTGGCCTCACAGAGGCTCTCTCAGCTCCCCCGGACCCTCCGCCTGACTGCCTTTCTGCACCTCATGGTGTTTGAAATCTTTTCCAAGGTGTGCCTCCTGCCTGCTGTGTCCAGGGGAGGGAACATTCCAGCTCTGCCTGGAAGAAGGCCTGGGAGCGGCACCTCTCCTCCACCCACACCAGAATGTACCCAGGGAGGCCACGGGGGAAGCATCCACATTTCTTAAAACTTAAAAAATGAGGTCATACAATTACATGCATATTATTTAAAGTACATGTGTATAATATTGGTAATTTTTTAGGGTTTAAAATATAGGTAATTTTTTAGGTTTTGAATAGTTTCAACATGGGCATAGTTTTCCTAATTACGATCCAGATTCATAAATAAAAGTATGTATAAATTTAACAGACTTAAAGAATACAAAACCAGAGGGGTTGCCGTGCACAACGGCGGCGTAGCAAGCTCTCTGGTTGGGTCTCCACCAAGACTGCCGTCAAGCTGTAGGGGGATTGGAAGCAAGTATTTCAGCTCTCTGGAAGCAGAACAGACACTTATAAAAGCTAGGACTGGTGTAACAATAGTGCTAGAGGCTGGGCGCGGTGGCTCACTCCTGTAATCCTAGCACTTTGGGAGGCTGAGGTGGGCAGATCACCTGAGGTCAGGAGTTCAAGACCAGCCTGGCCAACATGGTGAAACCCTGTCTCTACTAAAAATACAAAAATTAGCCGGATGTGGTGGCACATGCCTGTAATCTCAGCTACTCAGGAGGCTGAGGCAGGAGAATTGCTTGAACCCAGGAGGCAGAAGTTGCAGTGAGCCAAGATTGTGCCATTGCACTCCAGCCTAGGCAACAGAGTGAAACTCCGTCTCGAAAAAATAAAAAAATAAAGAAAAATAAAAGAATAGCACTAGAGAGGCTGCCATTCTCAATTGACTGCAAAGACAAGGGAACTGAAGCTTCAGTCACCACACACGATGAAGAATATACACTTCAAGGCCATCACTTTGGAAAAGGCACACTTGGATGGCTCCAGTCTGCACAAGCCCACGTCAGTGATCTCTGGGAAGTGGGAGAATCCGATTTCCACCAAAGCTGCCCCAATACAATGCCTACCATATCTATTTTTCAACCAAAAACTCAAAAGCATGCAAAACCAGGAAAGTAGGGCCAATTCACCCGATAAAAAATATTTGACAGAAATCATCCCTGAACAAGTCTACGTGTAAAAAGTATCTCAAATGGAGTTAACCGTACACGTTACAACTATAAAAGTTGTTGAAGAAAACGTAAGGGGAAAATCTTTGTGACAGTGTTTAATCATTGCAGAGTTTCTGCTATGGGTGAGGAAACAGTTGTAGAAATCAGTAGTGTTGACAGCTACACAGCATTGTGAACATACCTAATGCCACTGAATTGTACACTTACAAATGGTTAAATGGTCAACTTCATGATATGTATATTTTACCACATATCATCAAAAAAAATCAAGGACAACTTGTTCTATGGCAAAAAAAAAAAAAAAAAAAATCAAAAGACCAGGAAAAATATTGTGATACTATTGTAGCCAAACACTGATAGCCTTGATTTTCAAGTCCAAATAACTCAATAGGAAAGCTAAAGAACACAAACACAAAACAAATGGCCAACAAACCTGTGAAAAACGGTTCAATTTCACTCAAAATTAAAGCAATGCCAACTGAAACAAAGAATGGCTTTAAGAATTAAGTCTGGTCGGGCGCGGTGGCTCAAGCCTGTAATCCCAGCACTTTGGGAGGCCGAGGCGGGCGGATCACAAGGTCAGGAGATCGAGACCACAGTGAAACACCGTCTCTACTAAAAATACAAAAAATTAGCCGGGCGCGGTGGCGGGCGCCTGTAGTCCTAGCTACTCAGGAGGCTGAGGCAGGAGAATGGCGTGAACCCAGGAGGCGGAGCTTGCAGTGAGCCGAGATCGCGCCACTGCACTCCAGCCTAGGCAACAGCGTGAGACTCCGTCTCAAAAAAAAAAAAAAAAAAAAAAAAAGAATTAAGTCTGATGTTCTACAGTGCTAAGGAGATTATGCAGAATCTATCAGTACAAGTGTGAACTGATCAGTCTCTTTGGGAGAAGATTCGGC